GAGATCTACCTTTTTTGTAGTCCCTGACTTTCTGACACTCTCAACTTAAAAATGTATATGTTGCAATGAACACATTTCTATACGTATGTTACTAAAAACATCTTGGATTCTTTTTCCAGAACCTCAACCACCTCCTCCTGTAATAGACCTATAACCTCTGACTGAATTACTGAAGTCCTCATATTATGATTTAAAGACTTAAAGTTACAGAGAATCTGCCATTTACTCTAGTTTAAACCAGCAAGTGACCTGTGCCCCATGCTGCAGAGGAAAACAACCTCTCCCCCAATCTGACCTGGGGGAAAATTCCTTCCCAACCCAAAATATGGTGATCAGTTAGACCCTGAGCATGATGCAAAACCCACCAGCCAGACAGCTGGGAAATAATTCTCTGTAGTAACTCAGAGCCCTCCCTATCTAGTGCCCCATCTCCATCCATTGGGGATATTTGCTACTAGTAGTCGAAGATGGGCCATATGCCATTATAGGCAAGCTCATCATACCACCCTCTCCATAAACTTACAAGGCTCAGTCTTGAAGCCAGTTAGGTTTTTTGCCCCCACTGGTCCCCTTGGGAGACTGTTCCAGGACTTCACTCCGCTGATGGTAAGAAACATTCACTTAATTTCAAGCCTAAACTTGTTGATGGCCAGTTTATATCCATTTATTCTTGTGGTAACATTGGTGCATAACTTAAATAATTATTCTCCCTCCCTGGTATTTATCCCTTTGATGTATGTCTAGAGAGCAGTCATATCTTCTCTCAGCCTTCATTTGGCTAGGCTAAACAAGCCAAGCTCCTTGTGTCTCCTCTTATAAGGTAGGTTTACCATTCCCCTGATCATCCTAGTAGCCATTCTCTGCATCTGTTCCAGTTTGAATTCATCTTTCTTAAACATGGGAGACCAGAACTGCACACACTATTCCAGATGAGGTTTGACCAGTGGCTTGCATAATGGCAATAACACTTCCCTATCTCTACTGGAAATACCTCACCTGATCCATCCTAGGATTGCATTAGCCTTTTTCACGGCTGCATCTCATTGGTGGCTCATAGTCATCCTGTGATCAGCCAATACACCCAGGTCCTTCGCTTCTTCTGTCACTTCCAACTGATAAGTCCCCAGCTTATAGCAAAAATTATTGTTGTTAGTCCCTAAGTGCATCACTTTGTACTATTAAATTTCATCCCATTTCTATTACTCCAATTTTCAAGGTCCTCCAGATCTTTTTGTATGATATTCCGCACCTCCTCCATATTGGCAATATCTCCCAACTTTGTGTCATCTTCAAATTTTATTAGCACATTCGCACTTTTTGTACCTGTTGTGACGGGTTGGATCACAGAAACTCCCTGGGAGCTGCCACCTGATGTGCCAAGACTACTTCTACCCCTGCCTTCCCTGCCAGCTCAGGACTCCAGCACCCTGTCTTGCTGAGCCAGACACACCCGTCTGCTCCAACAAAGACCCAGGGTCTGAATTACTTGCCCCAAAGCTGCAGATTTACCTGAAAGCAGCTAACAGAAGTGTTCCTGTCTTTAACACTCAGATGCCCAACTCCCAATGGGGTCTAAACCCAAATAAATCCGTTTTACCCTGTATAAAGCTTATACAGGGTAAACTCATAAATTGTTCGCCCTCTATAACACTGATAGAGAGATATGCACAGTTGTTTGCTCCCCCAGGTATTAATACATACTCTGAGTTAATTAATAAGTAAAAAGTGATTTTATTAAATACAGAAAGTAGGATTTAAGTAGTAACAGACAGAACAAAGTAAGTCACCAAGCAAAATCAAATAAAATGCGCAAATCTATGTCTAATCAAACTGAATACAGATAAGATCCTCATCAGTTCCAGAATGCTCCCTTTTACAGACTAATCTCCTTTTAGCCTGGGTCCAGCAATCACTCACATCCCTTGCAATCACTGCCCTTTGTTCCAGTTTCTTTCAAGTATCCTGGGGGGTGGAGATGCTCTCTCTTTAGCCAGCCGAAGACAAAATGGAGGGGTCTTCCAGGGGTTTAAATAGACTTTCTCTTGTGGGTGGAGACCCCCTCCTCACTCCTATGCAAAGTCCAGCTCCAAGATGGAGTTTAGGAGTCACCTGGGCAAGTCACATATCCATGCATGACTCACAGTTTTTACAGGTAGCATCCATTGTTTACATGCTACCTTGAACGTCCTCAAGTAGACTTCTTATGTGGATTGGAGCATTCCAAGATCCATTGTCCTTTAAGTGTTTCTTGATTAGGTACTTAATTTCAACATTCCTTTCTTCAGGAACTTACCAAATGCTCTACTAAGGTTATTTAGAAATCAAGCCAGTGCACAGCCAATATTCATAACATTCATAACTTCGAATACAAAAATGATACATGCATACAAATAGGATTAATACATTCAGTAGATCATAACCTTTGAGATATGTTACTTGGCATATGTAGCATAAAACACATTCTAAGCATATTTCCATAAAGCCTTATGGGAGATACCGTCACACCAATGTCATTAGTGTTAAATAAGGTTGATCCTATGACTGATCCTTGAGGAATTCCACTAGAAACTTCCCGACAACCTGACAGTTCATAAATTTCAGAATGACCTGTAGTAGTCTCCCCTTTAACCAGTTCCTTATCCACCTTTAAATTCTCATATTAATCTGCATCTTCTCCAATTTAACTGATGCTCTTCCACATGGGAAATTATTAAGTGCCTTACTGAAATCCAGGTAGATTAGATCTACTGCATTTCTTTTGTCTAAAAAATCAGTTCTTCTGAAAGAAAGAGATCAGGTTTGTCTGGTACGATCTACCTTTTTAAAAGCCATGTTGTATTTTATCCCAATTACTGTTTAGCCCTATGTCCTTAGCAACTTTCTCTTTCAAAATTTATTCAAAGACCTTGCATACAACTGAGGTCAAACTAACGGGCCTGTAGTTTCTTGGATCACTTTTTTTCCATTTCTCAAAAATAGATACTAATTAGCAATTCTCCAGTCATAGGGTATGACCCCTGAGTTTACAGATTCATTAAAAATCCTTGCTATAGGCCTTGCAATTTCATGTGCCAGTTCCTTTAATATTCTTGGATGGGGATTATCCAACCCCTCTCCCCCCCCCCCCCCCAGTTTGGTCCATTAAACTGTTTGAGTTCGACTTCCACCTCAAATGTGGTTATTTCTGCTTCTGTATCCTCATGTCCATTAGCCACCCTGCCACTACCCCTAAGCTCCTCATTACCCTTATCAAAAACTGAGGCAAAGTATTCGTTTAGGTGTTGGGCCATGCCTAGATTATTGTTAATCTCCACCCCATTCTCAGTGCTTAGCGGTCCCACTTCTTCTTCCTTGTTTGTTTGTTTATTTATGTATATGGTTATATAATCTTTTACTGTTGTTTCTAATTTCCTTTGCAAGGTCCAACTCTGCTTGGCTTTTGGCAGTTCTCACTTTTCCCCTGCACTTTCTGACCTCCAAGAGGTAGCTTTCCTTGCTGATTCTTCCAACCTTCAATTTCTTGTAGGCTTTCTGCTTTCTCTTAATAACCTGTTTGAGATGTTTGTCCACTTTGGTGTGCAACCCTTCTCTGAGAATTTTTTCCCCTTGTTTGGGATCCAGGTTTCAGATAGCTTCTGCAACTTTGCCTGAAAGTAGTTCTAAGCCTCCTCCACATTCAGACACTTGAGTTCTTCAGTCCAATCCACTACCTTAGCTAATTCCCTTAATTTTTTAAAGATTGTGCTTTTTAAATCAAGGACCCTTGTTGCAGATGTGTTTTTGTTTCCTTCCATTTAGTTTAAACTGAATTAATTCATGATTACTCCAAGATAATGTACATGTGCAGCTTCCGTATCGAGTCATTTTCATTGTTTTTTCCATTCTTGGGCCACTACCACTGCTGTCTCTGTAGCTGTCATAGCCTCCTTCTCATTTGTAAGGTTTTCCTATCAACCATGAAGGCTAAAATTGAGGGTGAAATCCTGGCCCCAATGGGAGTTTTGCCATTGACTTCAGTTGGGCCAGGATTTCACCCCTAGATTTTTTTTTTTAATGAGAGTTTAGAAGCTGTAGAAACTGATGGCACTAGATTTGGAAAGCTTCCTACTCTCATGGGCAAGTTGATATTTTTTCTAGTCTTGACTATGTCATTATGGCATAGCACAGTGGTTTCCAAACTTTTAATAAGGCCAACGACCAACTGCATTTTGTCTTTTTTTGTGACCCATCATTACATATACACTCCTCCTGCCCCAGCACCGCAACCCTAATCCCAGCCCAGTGGGAGGGGGGTGGCCCAGTGGAAAGGGGGTTGGAGAATGAGCTCATCCTGCAGCAGTGAGTGCTGTCCTGTGGGGCTGGTCTCAGCTTCCTTTTCCTGGAGTTGTTACCTGGCACATGGGGTCACAGTGCCACTCAGGTTTGGCCCAACCACCCCATCATCATGCTGCGGCACAGCTGGTCTAACCCACAGTGGTGCTGCAACCCTTAGTGCCCGGTCATAATACCAGGAGTTGGAAAGCCAATCCCAATCCTGCAGGACAGGTGCCACCACTGCAGGGTGAACTTGGCTTCCAACTGCTTTCATCCACCTCCTCCAGCATCACTTAGCACAACAGGGTCCTGATCTCAGTGGGGCCCTCCTGGCACTACCATAATGTAAATAGCCAAATCCACAGCAAGAAATAATAATATGCTGGAGGAGGAACAAGCTAGTAAAAATGGATGGTGGTAGCAAGTTACTTGGGATCCCTCTTTGTCCTCTCTATCCTCTTCCCAAAAAACAGGTGTTTAGGACCAGGACTTACTTATCTTGTCTTTATGTCCTGTATTTTAAGGGATGTCCTCTGTTTAATACCTAGTGTCTCAGGTTGGGCATACAGTACATCTATTCTTTTTCACACCTTGAGTCCTAAAGTTTCTCAAGTTGGTTCTACTGTGTGCTATTACTTGCTGCCATTATAGCACAATCGTATTCTGTCGTCCACTTTATTTTTAAGGGAATGAGATGTTAATTCTGCAGTGTTGATGTTTTACAATGCCTGATCAAGACAAAAAGGTGAAGAGCACAGAAAAGGGAACAGACAAAAAACCCCAAGGGATCACTGCAAGGTATAGTATCTGATAATGGTTTAGTTTGTTTGAACCTCAACAGTGACTTTCTGGAATTTGAACCATCTGCCAAAGTTAAATGCTTTAACGTGAAATGCTCTATACATATGGCAATTGTTACTCTGGTCACAGAGTTTATTTAGACCATTGGTGATTTCAGGCATTCTGGAGAAACAAATCAATGGTTATGAAACTTCTGTATGCAAAAATAAAACAATAGTCTACTAAGGCAATGCCAGAGAATTGCTTTTTCTCTCACCAATGTCGATCACACAAATTGACCTTATTTATATTGAGCAGACTACTAGTTGACATGGTTATAAATAACTTTGTCTAATGAGTTATTAATAGATACATTATTATGTTTTATCCTAGGGATTACTCTGATCTTAAAAGACTTCGGTCTCTTTTAAATGTCCAGTCAAGCAAACAGCAGGTATTTTTTAGTAGTCATTATTCAACATGCTGAACAGTTGTATGATCATGCAAAATAATGATTGTGGTAGTCAGTATGAATTTTGTGCATTGTCAGAAATAGTCAAAGTTTTTAGTGAGCTCATGTGCAGTTCAATTCACTAGAAACTTGTATTTTTTTGGCAATAGCAGAGTTTCTCTGTAGGAAAAATCCCATTTACATAGTGTAAAGGAATGAAATCAATCAGCTTTTTATGCTGATATGTCATCTTCATTTTTAAAATAACAGCAAAATTATCTTCATTTGTTTTGCTATGTCAACATATCTAGCAGAGTTTATGCTTTCACAGTTATTTATCGCTGAACAGCTTAACAACTTTGTCTTTTTCCACACCCTTTGATAATGTCATGAGGAAGTAGTCCCCATTTTCAGCAAGAGCAGGTTAATTATAACGTGATGAAAGGAAGTGAAGGATGCAGAACCACAGGTAAACAATTCCACCATGTATAAATAGTCTTTAGAGAAAGACAACTTGAGGTTAAAACTATGTCAAGAAAATTGATTACACTGGTAGTTATCTGCTTATAAGGTCTTCTTCGAGTGATTGCTCATGTGTATTCCACAATAGGTGTGCGTGCTCGCCACGTGCACCAGTGTCGGAAGTTTTTCCCCTAGCAGTGCCCCTAGCAACCATGGTGCGGTATAAGGGGCGGTGTGTGCTCCCCCACCCTCAGTTCCTTCTTGCCGGCAGTGAAGGTGCTTCAGAACTGCTCTGCTCCAGCTTTGCTGTAGCTCGTCCCCAGAACTGCTTGTTCGTTCAGTGTATGGTACCTGTAGTTAGTTAAAGGAACTAACAAATTTATTTGAGCATAAGCTTTTGTAGGCTAAAGCCTACTTCATCAGATGCATGCAGTGGAAAATACAGTAAGAAGATATATATATATATATGTACACACACACATACACACAGAGAACATGAAAAAATGGGTGTTGCCATACCAACTCTAATGAGACTAATTGAATAAGGTGGGCTATTAGCAGGAGAAAAAAACATTTGTAGTGATAACCAGGATGGCCCATTTCAAACAGTTGACAAGAAGGTTCAAGCCGCAGCAGACTCCCACCCAGGCCACCCATTCAAAATATGAGACTGCTTATAAAAAGTCGTGGGACAATAAGAGGCGCCCACAGAGGCCTGCCCCCCGAGCCTGGGTCCTCCAAGGGCAAGCAGGCGGGGAAAAGGCAGTTTTGACAGGATGCCCGGGGGCACCCTGCCAATCCTCCTCACGGATCCACCCTCAATAAAGCTTCCCTTCTCCAATTGGTTGTGGGCTTTCCTCCCGGAGTGGTCGCGGCTGAATTTGGACCGATGGGTCCTCAACACCATCTCCCGGGGCTACAACCTCCAGTATATTTCCACCCCACCCAACCACCCTCTGCCCCCGTCCCTCCTGGGGGACCCCTTGCACGAGGCTTTGCTCGAGCAGGAGGTGGGGCGGCTCCTGGGCCTAGGAGCAGTGGAAGCGGTGCCGGGGGAGTTTAAAGGCAAGGGGTGCTACTCCCGCTATTTCCTTATCCCGAAGGCCAAATTGGGGCTCAGGCCCATCGTGGACCTGCGAGGTCTGAACCAGTACATGGTGAAGCTCAAGTTCCATATGGTCTCCCTGGCCTCCGTCATCCTCTCCCTGGATCCCGGGGACTGGTACACCCCCCTCAGTCTGTAGGACGTGTACTTCCACATTCATATATTCGAGGGGCACAGATGCTTCCTCTGTTTCATGGTAGGGCAGGAACACTAGCAATTTACAGTCCTCCCATTTGGCCTGTCCACGGCCCCCAGGGTATTCATGAAATGTATGTCAGTGGTAGCGGCCTACCTCAGGCGCCGCGGGGTCCAGATCTTCCCCTATCTGAATGACTGGTTGGTCAAGGGCAGCTCCCGGTCATAGGTGCGGGATCACGTGGCACTCCTTCTGTCCACGTGCTCCACTTTGGGCCTGTTGGTAAACAACACCAAGTCCACGTTAAACTCTGTGCGTTGTACCGGGACTCTCGGGGCGGTCCTGGACGCCTCGTTGGCCAGAGCCTCCCTCCCACCGGACAGGTTCGAGACCCTGAAGGGGCTCATCGATATAGTCACAAGGTTTCCGGTGACAACAGCCAGAGCATGCCTCCAGCTCTTGGATCAAATGTTGGTGCACACGTATGTGGTCCATCACGCCAGACTCAGGATGGGGCCCCTCCAGCTCTGGTTGACCTCAGAGTTCTCCCAGGCCAGGGACAGGATGGACAAAGTCCTCACGGTGCCCAAGCCAGTGATCACCTCCCTACGGTGGTGGTCCTCCCCGAGAAACATGCTCCAAGGGGTCCCAATCAGGAGCAGGGCCTCGTCGCTGGAACTGGTGTCCGACGCGTTGGACCTGGGATGGGGGGCCCATGTGGGGAATGCTCAGACCCAAGGTCTGTGGTCGGCTCAGGATCTGATCCTCCACATAAACGTTAAGGAGCTCAGGGCGGTACGACTGGTGTGCATGCCTTCCGCTCGCAACTGGAGGGCTGGGTGGTCAGGGTTCTTATGGACAATACGACCTCAATATTTTACATCAACAGGCAAGGCGGGGCCTAATCCTCTGCCCTCTGCCATGAAGCCCTCAGGCTGTGGGACTTTTGTATAACCCATGACATCTGCCTAAAGGCCTTCCATCTTCCAGGGGCCCGGAATGCGCGGGCAGATCACTTGAGCAGGGACTTCTCCTCTCAGCACGAGTGGTCTCTCCACCCAGAGGTGGTGCACAGACTTTTCCAAGTGTGAACTCCCCAGGTGGACCTGTTCGCAACTCGGCAGAACCGTCGGTGTCCCCAGTTCTGCTCCGGGGGGCGGGGCTGGGATGGGGCGCTATCTCCAATGCCTTCCTCCAGTCCTGGTCTGGCCAGTTTCTCTGTGCCTTTCCCCCATTCTCGCTGATTGGCAAAGTCCTGGAAAAGATAGACAGACATGGCCCGGGTCCTTCTGATTGCCCTGGTGTGGCCCATGCTGCATTGGTTTGGGACCCTCACTGGCCTGGCAGTCGCCCCGCTGTGGCCGTTGCCGTCCTGCCCGGACCTACTTTCCCAGGACCAGGGCTGCCTCCTCCACCCCAACCTAGTGGCACTCCACCTCACGGCGTGGCTGCTCAATGGTTAGGCCGGGAGGAGAGGACGTGCTCGGAAGGGGTTTAGCGCGTCCTCTTGGAAAGCAGGCGATCCTCCACGCACCAAGCCTACTTGCCAAAGTGGTCTCGGTTCTCCCAATGGGCGGATGAGCGGGGTGCTTGCCCCGTGGCTGCCCCAATCCAGCTCATTTTGGTTTACCTCCTTCACCTTAGAGCCCAGGCCCTGGCGCCCTCTACCATCAAGGTGCACTTAGCGACCATATCGGCCTTCCACCTGCCGGTGCAGGGCCACACGATATTCTCCCATGCTATGACTGGCTGACACCTTAAGGGATTGGATTGTCTCTTCCTGTACGTCAGGCCCCCAGTCCCAAAGTGGGACCTGAACGTGGTGCTGGCCCGCCTCATGGGTCACCCGTTTGAGCCACTAACTATGTGCTCCTGGTCCCACCTCTAGTGGAAGGCGATCACGTCGGCTAGGCGGGTCTCGGGGTCTCCAGGGGTCAGTAGGAGCGCTCCCTATGGGTACTGCTAGGGGAAAATCTTCCGACACTGGTGCACGTGGAGAGCACGCACACCTATTGTGGAACATACATGAGCAACACATCTCAAAGAACACCAGTTACGGAAAAAGTAACTGTCTTTTTTCTAGTGTTTGTAGCAAAGTCCTCTTTTCCCCCCACTCCCTGTTGGGATTTCTCTCTACCATCCCTATTTCATGTGAATCCACATAATTGTGGGTGTTACTCGGTGGTCTAGCTGGATGGCCTATTTCTCTTGTTCTTCTACATGCTATTCAACATGATTTTCATGGGATTGACTGCTGCGGCATGGCTGAAAGTCCTGACATTTTGGAGGCAGTCCTGAGAAATCCATCCAAAGCCCAATGTAGCTAGATATGTAACATAGGAAGGAGCATCCTTACTACTTGTAAATCCATTGCTGATGCTGTACAAAGGTGTGGAGAATTGATCCAAAGGATTCTTTGTAACATAGAGGGCTATGTATTTGCTTCACTGAGGCTGAAGTTTGCAAGCTACGAGGCAGCTAAATGTGAAAAATTATCCTCCAGGAAGCTATCACAATGGATAGCAGTGGTTGGAGGGAGTGTTGTGTGTGGCTGCACTGCACCTGTTTACACAAATCAAGCTAGTAGGTGTGGACATCCTTACAGTAACTAAGGGTGGTAGAAACACTTAGCATTTAAAGTTGAAATGGCTGAGACACCTAATACAGATAGACCTCTAAAGTGACAGGAAATATTGTACCTCTATGCAGCTGTGTGAGTGGGATTGACAGTAAAATTTCTGAAACAGTGTATAATATCAATGGTTTAATACAACCTGTAGCAGGCTGGCCTGGAGGGTCACTGATCTCAAAATTTGTCACATTTCTTCATCTACCAGTTTGATCCAGCACTGCGTTGGATCAGAGTATTAATATAGCTTTGTTTGCATTGTGGGATGTAATTTCATATTAGTCTAACAGATTTCAAGTTTTTCCTGTTATTTATGCCAACTTCAAATAGAATTTTCTTTAAAACTTGCTATGCTGAGCTAATGGAGCAGCTACCTTTTCTTTTTACTTCAGTACACATCTGCGCTTGATGGTGCAGGGTGTGAGTGAAGAGGAGAAATTTAGACTTCTTCTCCACTTCCTGGATAATATCTGCTAAAGGAATAGAATGAGTCAGTTTTCCATCAGATGCTTCTTCCGCAATCTTGAGTATTCTTTCCACCCCTACTAGAAGGCTCTAGAGTAGGAAGAAAATTATTCCAAAGAAGTTGCGGCAAGATTTACTTTTATAATGGCAACTGTTGGATCTTAAGTTAGATAGTATCTGAAATCCCAATAAGAATTTGAGAAGACAAAAGCTAATCTTTTCTCTGCTTGGTTACTTTCTATATACTGTTTGCCTTATGCATATCCTTCCTTGTATTTTCAGCTCCCAGCCATTAACTTTGAAACTGCTCAAAATAGTATGACCAAGTCAGAACAATACACTAACAAGACTAATGGACAAAGAAGCCGAGGTCAATGGCAAGAATCAACTGAAGCTGTTGAACTTGAAAACTTTAGGTAAAGATTGTACCTTTCTTTTAATCAAATATGCAAAGTATGGATGGAGCATGAACTTGGACTTCTAATCCTAACTCTGCTTCTGTGGGTTTAAATCAGACCTTTAAATTTACAACAGTTTTTCTTCTTACCTTATCAATGATGAATTTTTTAAAAATAGCAAAGGAGAGGTTAACAGTGCTAAAGGTATAATTGATACTTGAAACCCCAGAATCTCACACTTTTTAACTGGTAAATGTTTGAAGGACATATTAAATTATACATATTCACTTCTAAAGGAAAGAAGAGATGTGTGGTTTGCAAAATGCAACAAATTATCAGATTAAAGGTTCCCCAAGGGCAGTTAGGCAGTTCAGATTGCTGTTCCATTAAGCACTTTCTTATTTGCATTGTTATAAACACAGGAAGGAATCATAAGATGCCTAAGGTAGAATCTGTTTTGTTCTTCTGATGTTGTGTGTTCTTAGGTGCACCCATTATTTAAATGTATTTGGTTAAGAAAGTTCTGCCAGCCATTCTAGCTGAAAAGTTGAACATATCGCATTTAATTGGTTGAAATGCTTTGTTATATCATCAGGGTTGTACTGTGTACAAGTGTCTTGGCTGTGAAAGAGAACGAGCACACACCACATCAGGAGAATCAGAAGGCTGGATAATCAGGGGATCATGAGCACATTCCTCAAAGCCTGTTGGGCTTCCTCTTCAAAGGATAAAAGACGTGTGCAGCTCCTAAGATTTGGAGGACAGAAGCACCAATCTTTCAGAGTTTAGAAGCTTTGTTCAAACCTTGGGAGACACATCTGACCTCTTAGCCAAATGAGAGTTGGATAATTGAGATCTCACTGTTTTCATTTTAATTAATTTTTAAAACATCCTATAACATATTAAAACTTCTCTAAATCTAACATCATTAGGAAATAGCAGAAAGATGAAATATGGCTATTTTTAACCTTCAGAAACCCCTGTTATGTCAGACTAATTCTGTTTCTGCTCAAAAGTGCTACATCTTTCTAAACATTTAGGTTAATAGCAGGTGCGTTTTATTATTATGAATTATTGTCCTTCAAGACCTTTTCTTCATGACTGTCTGGTCCCTGTCACTGGCCCAAAATGGTTCCGTGCCACTTCACTCTCGTTTGTCATTGTTATTTATATAACACTTAAAGCATGCATCATGCTTTCCAGACAGAAGGCACTGTTGCTGCCCCAAAAAGCTTACACCATACATTGAACATTACATAACAAAAAGTGATGGTAGACAATAGGGTGGGCACTGGAGTAAGGTTGGGACCATGCAACTTAGGATCATGCATTAAGTCAGCAGTTCAGAATCAGGGGTTTAGCTTTTTCTGTATGCATTTTGCGGTTGGTGTTTAAGTAATTTGGTTTTACCTTATGAGTATTTTTTAATACTGTTAATACATCCGAAAGTGATATCATTCAGTGAGTAAAAAAAGAGAGGCAGAGCTGGAGCCACAGTACCAGTAGTGACAGTATATGAAGGCAGTTACCGAATGGCTGCTCCCACTTGCTGCTGCATAGGCTGTTGAGATCTGCTAAATGCTAATTTAAATAAAAGTAGTAGTCATGTTAGTCAAACAATTTGTTATCATATAATAATCTCAACAATTAACTGTCTGCTAATAAAGTTTTTCTCCTCATTAACTTTCAGTAATCTAAACTTATCTTACTACAATGTAATTAACAATACTGCATTTTTCTTCCCCCCCACCCCCGGCGCAGTGTGAACTACAGGAATGAGAGAAATTTTAGCAAGCATGCTCAACACAAACAGTTTCAAGAGATCTTTACAGCTTTGGTTAAGAACAGACTTACCTGCAGGTAAGAACATGTGATACATGTATGTCTGGAATAGAGGAGACTACTCATTCACTTGGATTAGGCAGGGATCCAAGAAGCATGAGTAAGGTGTGGCTTGTACACGTCAGCAACAGTCCCTGTGGTATGGAAACTGGTTTCACAATATGGGGCTGGGAGATCTTTAATATAAAAAAAACTGGGTCTCCCAATCTAAATCTGGGCAGATGATAACAATACTTCTCTGCTTCCTAAGTTCATTTACACACCGTGAACCTGTTGTCTTAAAATTCTGTAAATTTTTTGTTGGAAGTCAATTCTTTGATTTCCCTGTTGCTGATGGCATGCCCATCTACAGAAAAAACAGGCTCAATTTCGCTCATCTCAATTGCATCAGCACTGTAAAACTAGCTTGCTACTCATATTTACTTGACCATTGAAGGCTTATAGAGAGGAAACCCTTTTCATACCATTTCTCATAGAATTAGATTGAAACTTCACATGAAATTGTAAGGACTGGCCTAACAGTCACAGCTGGGCTGGTGACCACAGGTAAGGAAGTCCACTAGATGGTAGGGATCAGAGTAATTGGTAGAGCCGTGACCAATAAGCAAGAGTGAGAGTCAGGCTGGGGTCCGAGACTGGAGATTAGAGTTAATTACCACGCTGGAATCAGGAGACAAGAGTCAGGGTCAGAGTCAGGCTGGAGTTAGAGATTTGAGATCAGAAGCAAGATGCAGTCTGGAGTTGCCAAAGGCCAGAAGTCTGTGTGGTTTGTCCAGGAAACTTCCTGGAGTGCCCTCCAGGATTAAGTATTGCATTTGGCCAATCAGAAGGCTGCAGGGTGCTGTCACTCTAGACCGGGGTGGGCAAACTTTTTGGCCCGAGGGCCATATTGGGGTTGCGCAACTGTATGGAGGGCCGGGTAGGGAAGGCTGTGCCTCCCCAAACAGCCTGGCCCCCACCCCCTAACTGCTCCTTCCCACTTCCGCCCCCTGACTACCCCCCTCAGAACCTCCAACCCATCCAACCCCCCCCGCTCCCTGTCCCCTGACTGCCCTCTTGACCCCTATCCACATCCCCGCCCCCTGACAGGCCCCCCGGGACTCCCACTCCCAACCCCCCCTGTTTCCCATCCCCTGACTGCCCCCCAGAACCTCTGCCCCATCCAATCGCCCCCTCCTCCCTGACTGCCCCCAGGACCCCACTCTCCCTTACCCAACCCCCCCACTCCCCGCCCCTTTACCAGCAGCAGGAGCTCACAGCCACGACACCCGGCCAGAGCCAGCTGCGCTCCCCATGCTGCCCAGCGGGAGCGGCGGGCCAGAGTGCTGCCTGCGTGGCGGCGTGGCTGTGGGAGAGGGAGAACAGTGGGGGAGGGGCCGGGGACTAGGCTCCCCGCCCGGAAGCTCAGGGGCCGGGCAGGATGGTCCCGCAGGCCGGATGTGGCCTGTGGGCCGTAGTTTGCCCACGACTGCTCTAGACCCTTTGGGCAGTGCTTCCTGCAGTGCCTAACTGTCACTGTGCTACATGGATGTAGTTCTGCGTGTGTCCCCCCATCCTCTCCAGTGGCAATATGGGAATGTCAGCCATCCCAGGCTCCGCAGACCTGGGTTCTAGTCTCACAGATCTTTACAGAAATAATTGAAAGACATTCAAGAAAATATGGGCACTGAAATTTATTTTTTGAAAGAAATGTATATTTTATATTTAAATACAATTTTCTATTTAAATCCCAGGTAAAATTTTCAAAAAACACCCAAGTGATTTAGGAGTTTTAAGGCCAGCTTTATAAAGGTATTTAGGCACCTAAAGATCCAGTTAGATGTCTAGGGGGATTTTCAAAGAACCTAACCAAGTTAGTCACCCACCTCCCATTAAAAATCACGAAAGTCAGTGGGAATTAGGCACCTAACTTGCTTAGACCCTTTTGTAAATTCCACTAGATGCCTATCTGCATCTTTAGACACGTAAATATCTTTGTAAGTCTGGTCCTACTTTTAATTTTCAACAGTGTTTTATGCACTTAGGAGCCAAAGTCTCCTTGCAATGGGACTTCGGCCATGTCTGCACTACAGACTTCTGGGCTGACATAGCTCTTCCAGGAATCATTCCTGACCAACATAGCTGTATTGACAGAAACCCCTAGTGCAGAGGCAGTTATGTTGGCAAAACTATACTTTTGCCATTATATCTTATTTTGCTCAGGGCAGTGAGTGGAATAAACTATGGCAGTAAAAGTGCAGCTTTGCTGGTATAGCTGCATCCACGCGAGGAGCACTTTGCTGGTAGAGTACAGAGGTATAGCTATACTGGTAAAACCTCTCCTAGTGTAGACATAGGCGTAGGTTCCTATGTGCCTAAGTCACTTTTGAAAATGGGACTTAGACTCTTAATTCACTTAGGCACTTTTGAAAATTTTAGCCCACTTCTCTTTTGGGTACAGTGCAATGTGTCATTGTACTCCTGTAGAGGAACTGTAATGAGACAACTTCATTTGCTGATAATTCAAGGAAACTGTACGTTATCTCTTTCCAAACACTTTATGATTGTGACAAACCTAATTATTTCTGACTTTTTTGTTTCCCATCCCTTTGATGATGCTATAATGAAGTTAGTACCTTGTATTGAAAATGAAAGACCTGGATGAGGTTAATAATGCTAGCATATATTAATAGCCCTGTGAAACCAGGAACACAAGTGCAGTCACAAGGGTATTACATGCTCTTTTATAAGCACATTGCTACTAGTATGTTGCTAGCCTCTCTTTAGAACAACTGCCATTGCAGAAGGTCAAAGCCTCTAGAGGCTGCATTGGATAACTACTACCCCTGCAGGGGAACATGAAAGACAGATTGCCCTGTTAAAGCCTATGGATTCTGTCAGGGATCTGGGCCTCCTGAAAACCTGAGATTTTAAGGAATCACTTCTTAAGGCATGCTGAAGAGCACTCCCCGTCTATTCCAAACAGAGAATAGAGGTCATTTTACAGTATGTAATAATATTTTTTATTTACAAAGCACAACCCTCACCCCCTCACCCCTTGCAAAAGCATTCTATGCAAGCCATCAATTCTCCTTGAAAGCAAAGCACCACTTTTCTGGGGAGGCAAGTGTGAGAACCTAGGATAGAGCCACTACTCTTAACAGGGCTTGGGTACAAAGAGGCTGTGCCAAATAAGTTGATGCTGGAGTTCTATTTGCATCTATTACAGCACAGCCTTTATTTTTATCAAAATATTTTTAGCCATTGGCTTAATTCCCAACAGCAAATGATAACAAGGGAAGAGAACTGCCACATCACATAGACTTCTGTTTCTGGATAGCTTTTTCCAGATAAATACAGATACTCACCCCTTTTATTTATATGTATGTATCTATAAAAAGTGTGTGTGTGTGTGTGTATATATAGGTGTCTAAAGATTTTTTTTATAATAATATAGAATATATAACTTTCATAGACAATGGTAAACTATTTGTTTATATCGTATCTTGAAAAGTTATAGATCAGTGATGCTCATTCCTGGAACTTGGTAGTACTGTTGTATCTAGGTGCTTTACTTTAAGCACACGAGCAGTACCATTGAAATCAGGGGGACTACTTGTGCTTAAAGATCAGCATATGCTTTTCTGGATTAGGGCCTGAGTGAATATTGTGTCTATTAGGTGTAACAAGTGCTGGTTAGTAATGTGCAGTTTAATGAAATCTAATGTGTTCATAGGGAATTCATATTGTGTCAGCTGATACTGTATTTATAGTGCTTGAATACAAGTAGTATTAAAATATGCTGTTTTGTTGGTTTTCATGCTTAATTTCATGACTCATGCCCCAAATTGAAAAACGGTGTTATGTATGTTCGTTGTTATGCATTTGTTGTTGCCTCGGGTTTATAACTGGATGTTTTTGATGTTTCTGCTACAGGGAGTGGGTTAATCGAGCCCCATCCATCCATTTCCTGAGAGTACTAATCTGTCTTCGATTATTAATGAGGGATCCATGCTATCAGGTTGGTTTGCCAAAATATTGTTTCTTATTGAAAGACAGAACACATATAAACTTATATGTATTGTATATGTAATATGAAAATATAACAGTAAACTAAAAACATTCAACAAAACTCCAGTAGTGAAAGTTTAACCAAGTAAGAGTACTGAAACTGCAAAACCGTTGCAGTTGATACAAACATTTTGCTGTATACATGTGCCTTTTGCAGAATACATTTATTCAACTTCTGATGCTTCCTGTACGGTATATATAGTCATTAAGTCTTAATAAGAACATAGGAATTACTATACCAGAAGAGATGAACAGTCGAGTCTAAGAATCCTGTTCCTGATACTGGCCAACTCTGTAGAGAGACATATAAAACCCTCACAATGCAAATGCATTAATTGTAGAAAACTATAAAATTGAGGGAAATACCATCCCACTGTTCCCACTGGTGTTCATCTGGTATTCTGAAATATAATGACTGGGTGCCATTAATATTATCCTAGCTGTTATGATTATAGATTGTTATTCATATAGGTTAAAAAGATTTAAAAAAACTGGGCATGTTTAGTCTTGAAAAAAGAAGACTGAGGATGGACCTGATAACAGTCTTCAAATACGTTAAGGACTGATATAAAGAGGACTATGATCAATTGTTCTTCATGTCCACTGCAGGTAGGACAAGAAGTAATGGGCTTATCTGCAGCAAGGGAGATTCAGATTAACTGTTAGGAAAAACTTACTCTAAGGGTTGTTAAACTCTGGAATAGGCTTCCAAGGGAGGTTAGGAAATCCCCATCATTGGAGGTTTTTAAAAACAGGCTGGACAAACACTGGTGAGGGGTAGTCTAGGTTTACTTGGTCCTGCCACAGTGCAGGTGGCTGGACTTGATGACTTCTTGAGGTCCCTTCCAGTCCTACATTTTTATGGTTCCATATCTCTAATCCTCTTTAGAAACTTAAGCTATTTGCCTCAGCATACTGCAGTTCCATGCATTCTGTAGCTTAATCATACATTATTGTCTCAATTTTCAGATGTTCAAAATTAAATGTAAGTATCTTGATTTTTGAAGGTGCCAAGCACCCACAAATTCCATTAACTTCATTGTGCTTTGGGAGAGCGCAGCACTGCCAAAAACAGGCCATTTATATTGAAGTACCCATTTGTCTCAATGTTTCTGTGTTATGACAAACTTAATTAGTTTTCTTCTTTATTTTTGTCAGGAAGTGCTCCATAACCTGGGTGGGATTGAAAATCTAGCCCAGGTAAAATATTCTTTATTGTTTTGTCTCTTATCTTACACAATAGTTTGATTTTGCAAAGGCAAGAATGAAATGTATTGTAAAAGTGTTATTCTTTTGGCACATGGAGAGAAATAAATTTGTTCTCCGATTAGCACATGGATAAGTAGGTGTGGTTACCAATTATGCCCAAAGCAACTGTACATGTAATTTAGTAGCATGCACCAATGACATTTTCTTTCAGCTAATTGGATTAGACAGTAGCTAGTTTGCTGAAGTGAAAAAGACTATTAAAGGTCAACACATGTTTGGCTCAATCATGAGAATAAGTTCTAGGATTTTGAGGGAAGGGTGTGTAAAGTCCCTGACTGACTTCTCTGAAGGAATAACAAAAGTGACAGAAACACTATTAGTTTGAAATAAAAGCAGACTGAAATGACTGTTTTTCACAGATTGCTGTGCTTTAATTAATGAGGTCTGTTAGGGTTTTTTTTTATATCGTTGCTTCCCGTGCATAGCATTCCATGCTGGATGTGACTTTGGTCATGGCAAATTAAAAGAAAAGTCTCTGGAGAGTTGTGAAAAGGACAAAATAAATAGAAATATAATTTTGAAAAAAATCAAAACGCATGACATTATTTTTTGTTCTGCACAAAATAGTTTTTATTTGTCCAGGTTTAATTCTTGCAGACAAAAAGGGTAACACATATTATGTGATAATACAACTGTTTGGAACACAGAAGCTAGCATTCTGGAATACAGCATTGATTAATTTACTCTGATGATCCAGGGAAGCCAAAAAGCCTTTGGAATGCATCTTATGTTAAAAGTTTTCATGTTCATTAGGTTCCATTTTGTAAAGATGGAATCCTGGTAAAAATGCTAAAATTGTTTTTAAATAACCAGACAGTAGGTCATGGGTGCATGTCTGTGGCTCCCACTGTGCCCACATTGGCTCTTCAAATCTAAACAAATTCAGTTTCAAAGAATAAAGCTCTCACTTGAGAGTACACTTGTGCGTCCCACTTGTGCTATCTTAGTGTTGGTATTGAATCCTTCCTCTCTATTAGACTCCCTTTATGCTCAGGGTTCAAAATATTCAGCTCTTAAGGTTCACAGTGAAGTTTGCTCAAGTGTTTACTGTCACATCAAATCGCCCACATACAAATATCTCCAAATGTCAGCCGTTATGGCTATTTTTTTATACCATTAAATCCATTAGTCTAATGGCAACTGTGGCAATAGTGCGGCTATGTACTGTGTATTATATTATAGGTGCAGCAGTTGCACTGCTTATAGTTAAAATTACATAATAGTTTTCATTCTAGCCAGTTTTCACTTGCTCATAGCTTTCTGAAACTTTCACCTTCTGTGCTGAATTTTTCAGGCTTGGTCTCTGCCTGAAGGTGAATTATTTTTAGAAATGAAATCTTAGCAGTATGATATCTCACTACGCACTCAGTTACTAAGAGGTTAGTAGAGGCTCATAGGTTTTGTGTATAAAGTATGGGTGTGCAGATTAGTAAACTGGTATTAGTGAGGGTCCACTCTATGTTAGTTTTGCTTCTAGAGAGAAGGAATCATAAGTGATTGTGCACTTCCAGCACAGACTGTGAAAGACTGACACCCTAGGATACGCTGTTTTGGGTTATATGCTGTTATGTTTGTAGCCCCATATTTCCTCCCAGTAGCTTTCATAAAAGTCATGCAGAGACCTGTCTAAAACTTTGGATTCTGAAATCATTACTATGTGCTGCCTCATCAATATTCTATGACATTTAAATTGCGTAGCAAGCTGGTTGTTTGAAAGAAAATTGCACTCATCTTACTTAAGCGGCAATCTAAAAGAGTAAACTCATGGCAGAGATTCTTCTTAAAACAGAGAATGATTGGTAATAGTCTTACCAGATACTGGTACAAACCACAAAAGCTCTGCACATTTCAACATTATTGGTAGCATAACCCTTGACTGTGCCTCATTATGAGAAATTTGCTCATTTTAGATGCAAATGTGCCTTTGTCTAGGAAACATCTGGTATACTATGAGTGTCACTAAATTATTGATATCAGAAATGCTGAGCCTTAAAATGAAATTTCTAATTAATTCAAGCTCTCTCCTCTACTATATGTTCTTGTTGTGTTCCTCATTGTAGATATTTGCTGTATGATTTAAAAGCTTTTAAAGTCATTTTGGCTTTGGCAGTCTGAAAAATGTGATCTGGAAGTCTTTGCTAAATGGTGATACAATAGTTCAGTTCTTCACCTTTGGAAACCTGATGTCAAGTCCTAGTCTATGACCAGAAGTAAAATTGCTCAGTTTACCTGAAATAGTCATCATACAGTTTGCAGTATCTGCTCATAGGAACCCAACACTGTACTAACAGAATAGTTTCAGGTCACTTTTTAGGTATTGGGATGCTTGAACAGCATTATGTGCCAAATGAAAAACCAATGCACCCAGAAGTACACCTGCTATTGCAGACTGTACCATGCTCAGATTCACTTTTCTCCAGCATAACCCCTGGTGGCAGTTAGTCCACATGGAATAGGATTGCAAGTTGCCAACAACGCCACCTGTGCCTTCAAGGGGCTTAGAATGAGCCAGCTTACTCCCAAAAGAGGGTGGTGCGGACTGAGAATAGTTCCTAGATATTTAATATAAAAAAGCCACTTTCATCTACTTAGCTGCTGTCTTTTAGAAGGAACATGCCAAATTAGTTGCTTCTGTAATCCACACTAATATAGTAAGGCTTTGTGTCACTCTCCAGTGGCTAGCTAGACCACATGCAGAAATTTATGATTCGGATGTGTCTTCTGTGCTACGGTGTCCTGTGTGTTAGCTCAGGTGGTGTGGTTCATGTTGTTAGATCCAGAGGTTGCCCAGTTCAGTTGCTGGAGATGACCCAAATGGGCATTAGTACATTTATAAAGCCCTGCATGGACACACAATTTGTATCCACATCTGATACATGGCTCTCTTACCCAGGCCAGGATCCAGCTTCTAGCCTTGCCAGGGGGGACGGCCTTGGGGAGAAGAGGAGAGGCAGGGGGCAAAAAGTGGACTGTTCTGATGTCCCTGCTATACAGTCCATCTTTTGTCCTTTGCACCTAAGGAGATGGGTAATGGGTAGGGCTGGGTAGCGATGGTGTGGGATTCTGGAGAAGAGGTTAATTAATTCCTGTTAGGTTATTGCTGGGTTATTTGAACAGTTAACTCAGTAATTGATGGGTCTGTTTATTTACGAGAATATTTTAAAAACTAGTCCAGAACCTCCAGAGCATTGACTGAGCTCTCTCTTTCATCATAAAGTAGTAAACAGGAAGAGGGCAATTAACTCAGGTAGATGTTAATTAGCAATTACTATTATAATCAGATTTGTAATGGAAAAAGCTAGTTTCTACCATAACTGTGGAGAGTGTAATATCTCTTCCTAATGCTGTAGTGCCGTGGCCCTCAACCTTTCCAGGCTTCTGTACCCCTTTCAGGAGTCTGATTTGTCTTGTGTACCCCCAGGTTTCACCTCACTTAAAAACTACTTGCTTACAAAATCAGACATAAAAATAAAAAAGTGTCACAGCACACTATTACTGAAAAATTGCGTACTGTCTCACTTTTACCATATAATTATAAAATAAACCAATTGGAATATAAATACTGTACTTATATTTCAGTGTATAAGTATATAGAACAGTATGAACAAGTAATTGTCTATGAAATTTTAGTTTGTACTCACTTTGCTAGTGTTTTTCCCTGGAAGATCTGTGTTTACCCCCAGGGCCAGTGGTACATGTACCCCTAGATGAGAACCACTGCTTTAGTGTCCTTCAGCCATAGCAGTTTATAGTCTATTGTGAAGTTGGTACACCACCTACAGGCAATGCTTGTGCATAGCACTTTCAAATCTATACAGTGAAACCTCCATTTTACAAACACCAATCTTACAACTGAGCAGTTATAAAAAAAAAAAAAACAACAACAACAACAACAAAAACCATTTTTCTCTATGGAAAAATAAAAATCACAAAATGAAAGTAATATTGATGAAGAACAAGTCGGCATCCTTTCACATTTAGATGCCTTCAGTGCATTGCAAATCACTTTGCAGTAGTTTGAAGGACAAGAAAAAGTGATAGATTGCAGCATACTGTGACGGATGCACCCTACCTACTGTAATTTTGAGATGTTAAATTTTATAAACTTTTCCATATATGAACTCATCAATCCCCAATTAGTTTGTAAAATAGAGGTTCTACTGTATATATGTTAACATTGTATTTTGTCCCACTTACAGTATATGGAAACAGTAGCAAATGGATATCTTGGATATGGAGAAGAGCAGCATAATGTAGACAAATTGGTCAACATGACATGTGAGTGTTGTAACTGACATATGCACTTATAACCTTAATATGGACGAGGAGCAGACAGACTGAGGGATGCTTAAAATATTTGCAAATGGTTTAGCAATTGTGGTGTTGCTAGACACTTTCCAATCATGGTCATGCAAAAGAAAACAGTACTTGAGTAGACGAAAGCACAGCGCAATAGCAGATCTCACTCTTGTACATCTGTAATATTGCTTCTGAAGAAATTGACACTTCTTTGTACATTAAAATATTGAATAACATAAATTATATCAAGTATCAGAGGGGTAG